GAGTAAGTGCCACTAGGGTCCATGGACTTACTTAATTTAAATTACTTTTTCAACACTAATTCCTTTTCTATCTTTATGTACTCTATACCCTCTATTAGAACAATCATATATCTTAACAACAGAAATAACTCAGTTGTGCTTATACTCTCCACAATAAGACAGCCTTGTACATTTCTACATTTTATTAATTTACTCTTCAACAGCACATAAATACTATTTGTTTTCACAGATTCCTCTTTTAAAAAAAAACAATCACATTCCCTTTTGTTCATCCTTAGCTATCATTCTAGCACCTTAAACAACATTTTCTAATTTCATCATATTTAGTTTTTGTATTATTAACTTGATGAATTTAACTTATTTTTAGGCAGTGTTTGGGGTGAATCACACTTGTCTGTGCATTTAGGGACTTGATGGTTTGTTTAAAAAGAAAGAAATTGAAAATACTAAAGCAAACAATGTCATTTTCATTGCAGGAATTCATGAAATTATATAAATTACTCACTCCTTGTATGTGATTTTTCTTATGCTTCAAAGATTTATTTTTAATGTTGTTTATCAGCAGAAGTCTAAACATGAATCCACTTCCTTTGAACTTACATAGAATTACATATTCAACATCAGTCATCATCATGCAATCTTGATAAAACGCCCAGTGACAGAACTTTTTAGCTGAACTGCTACCCTAAGATGGGACACGTGAATATACAACTGAACATAGCCCTACTCAACCACATGATAAGCCACCCTCTTTCAAATCAGAAAACAAATCTTTCTGGGCAATCTGAGAACAAGGTAAATGCTCAAGAGGAGGTGTTGTAACATTTTGAGAACTTGGCATTGGCAATAAAGCAGAATGTATGATTGACATCTGTACCGATGTTTCAATATTATGCCAGCTTGTTTCGATCCGACATAAAAACATAAAGTAGCAAATACAACCAATATCTTTATGATAAATTGTGATGATTTGCTCACTATTTCCGGGTATAATGAAGTCATGAGTTGGTTTTGAAGATTCATACAATCAATGTTAACCTAATCAAATCGATTTTAATCGAGTGGGGCAGGATTGGAAGTATTTCCGGCAAAAACCCCACATATTTAATTGCAAGCAAACCTTTACCCCTTCCCCTGTTGAAATTACCTTAAATAGTTACATGTGAAAGGTCAGTAAAACAGCATATCAGAGGGGCGTAATATACCCCCCATCCGGAAAGTTATGTTTAGTAGTTATTTTAGGAAATTATACGGAAAACGTCTCGCCGTTCCATTATTTTTTACCTCGTCTCTTGCATGAAACACTATTCTGCACTAACCTTTCCGGTACATTGCATTGACCTTGTTTTTGTTTGCCAAACAGTCATTGGTCATAATTGAAAACTGGCTTATTTTCGTTCAGTGTTTACAAGGAACTTTTTTTTTTCCGGTAAACTGTACTGGTTGTGGCCCTTGTCATTTTGAAAAGCCGAATTTTATCAAGGACGATGGTTTAAAAAAATGTAGTTCGTGTCAAGAAGGAAACTATTTTACTGGTAATGATCCCCATTTCGAATCTTAATAGCAAAAGTAAAGATAACTCTGGAAGAACTTAATAGCAATAATAATTCACAGCTGCTATTATGTTTTCTTAATTTTCTGTGACAGGTTGCGTTCCAGATATTGTAAAGGCTTAAAGAGAATGCCAAAGAAAGATTCAAGAGAATTATCCCAGAGATAAGGAACTTCAGCCACTTGGCTAGATGAGAAAAGTTGGATCTGTTTTTCTTGAAGAGAAAGTGGACAGGAGATTTGATTCATTCAAAAATCGTGAAGGGTCTGCACAGAGTAAACAGGGAGAATCAGTTTTCGTTGGTGGAAGGACTGAGAATCAGACAGCACAGATTTAAGGTGGTATGCAAAAGGACATTAGAAAAATCTTCCACGCAGGAAGCGATTAGGATCTGGAATATGCTGCTTGAGCATGTGATGGAGGCCGGCTCAGTTCATGCCTTCAAGAAAGAAATCGAATCTCGGCTGGAAATGGAAAAGGTGCAGGCCTGGCGGGAAAAAGATGGGGGGGGGCGGGAGGGGGTGGGGGCGCGGCACTAGGTGAATTGATTCTCCCGAGAATAGGCGCAGACCTGTCGAGCCGAATGGACAGCCTCAATTTTGCTATCGGTCTGTGGTTCAAATCACCATTTCTTGATGAGAAATTAGAGCCATCATTTAAATTGGAACAAGCACATTAGATACATTTATTTGTGATTTCGAAGCCTACATTGGAAATTACGCGTAGTAAACGAGACCATTGGACAGACATAGCTGTTATAACGAGGCAATAGATATTCGACCCAGCTATTCTTTAGTTTTTTTTATATTTAAGTGACAGTGTTAACGTTAAGGTCCAAGGTGTTTTCTTTGAGTTTCCAGCCTTTCGATAAAAGAGTCAACGATAAGTTGATTGTAAAATTGTCAGTAACTAGGGGTAGGAGAGCTAAGAGTGAGATAAGGGGAAATTTCTTTACTCAGAGAGTTGTTATGATTTGGATTGTGCTGTCTGGGAGAGCGATGGACGCGGATTCCACAGGGGGTTTCAAAAGAGAGCTGGATATATATTTGAAAGTGATGAAGTTAGAGGGCTATGGAGATAGGGATGGAGAATGGGACCAGCTGGCTTGCTCTTTTGGGAGCTGGTACAGACACGATGGGTCGACTGGCCCCCTTCTTTATTGTAAAATTCTATGGTTATAAAACATTCATATTAGTAAGGAGCCAAGGATTGCACAGTATCTGGTCAGTCACCACCTGAGTCTATTCAATCATCTAATCTTTGGCATCTCGTATGGACACTGCAATATGTGAACGTGGCCCGGGAAATAAAGGCAGTTGACTCACAGCCAATTTAGAGCTATTAAGTCGCTTCGTAAAAAATCCATGAAGCCATAGCGGATATAATGTAGCTGTATGTACACCTGGTGACATGAAAGACGCGAATGTGCAGTTTCTGTCCCCGCGTCTGTTTTTTTTAACAAAACTGCTGACAGAGATGAGAGCAGGCCGAACGGTCAGACGTGGAGAAAATAGAAATCTGGTCTGTGCACGGTTCACGGAGCTTGCATTTGGATAGCAAGGTGCAGAGAATGTCAAAGCAATCACAACATAACTGCACAGCTTACCTCACACAGACGCCAACACAAAAGCGACCTTAAAGAAAAACACCACTCCATCGGTAACTTTAAACAGACACCAGTGAGACAAAAGACAAGGAACTCAAACACAAGCGCTGAGCACAAACTGGCATTGAATGCATGGATATAGCCAGAAAGACCCTACTCTACTACAAGACGCAATAATGAGATCACAATAAGCACAGCCCTTGAACAGAACTTCAAAATCAGCATATTTCCAAACAGGTAACCAACATCCACATGCAAGACGTCCAACCCCTCCAATAAACAATGTAATAAACAGTAAACAGTGTAATACAACGGAATCGACAAAGGCAACAAGGGCCAGCATTGCTGAGAATGCTACGTGAACTAGTATCAGCAACGTCATGTCATGGGGTGTCACGTTAAAGGACACGACCAACGGAAGTTCCTCCCTCAGCAGGTCTACAGTGGCAACATCCTGTTTAAATATATACATTTCTAGAGTTTCTCTTCTAAACAGAAATGACATACTCTTTTTCACCACCCATGTTCTGGGTCAGATTTATATTGCTTCGAATCCCAATTCGCAAGCTGCATGGATTAAATTGGTAAAAGGGTAAAGCACCAACCAAATGCATCCTCACGATTATCTTTTTCTACCGTTGGATGGCACACGGTAAAGGGAGTTAATATTACAATTGCATTTATCTGATATATGTCCATCTCTGTATGTCTACCTCTCTATTCTACACTCAATCCCTCCTTCCATCCATCCATTCACCTGTCAACCCATCTTTCCATTAATCCAATAACTTTGTAACTAATGCATCCATATGTAAATATTGCTTGGTAAATTGGTTTTCTTAGCGATTTCAAACTTTTTTTGCAAATGCTTAGAACACAAGAGGTAGAGTCATTGGACCTTCCCCTTACCGCCATGGTTTATTATTACATCTATGAGTGGTGGGTCAAAAAAAAGTTTTACTCTTTTTATTGGTAATGAAGTTTCACTTTTTCACTTAAACTAATAAAAGTTTCACTTTTTCAGGTATATAGGTAAGACGGCGAATGACAGTACTTTTTATGTTGGATAATTAGAACTTTACAGGGAAATTTCTATGTATAGATCAGATGATTTCAGAAGCATCTTAAAATGATTTCATATGTTGCATTCGATCTCGTACCATGTTCAAACTACAAGAATGCATGTCAATGCATTGTGTTCTATTCCCCTAAAACATAATGTTACTAATTCCTGAACTATCCATCATTCACATCCAGAAAAGTTCGAAGGATCTAAAATCACAGCATCATAGAATCCCTACAATATGGAAGCAGGCCATTCGGTCCATCCAATCCACACCGACTCGCCGAAGAGCATTCCGCCCAGATCCACTCGCCTACCCTTTCCCTGTAACCCTGCATTTCCCATGGCTAATCCACCTGGCCTATACATTCCTGGACACAATAGGCAATTTAGCATGGCCAATCCATCTAACTTGCGCATGCTTAGACTGGGGACAAAACCGGAGCAGCCGAAGGAAACGCACGCAGACACGGGAAGAGCGTGAAAACTCCCCACAGACAGTCGCCAGAGACTGGTTGTGAGGCAGCAGCGCTAACAACCGAGCCACCATGTCGTGTATATTGAAATCAAACTTCGTTCCATTGAATCCAGACCACTGCAGGATATTATATTTGAAAGAAAATATAAGTACACTTAAACAATACCAAAGAATGATAAATGCTACTTTTATATATAAGTTATATTTATATTTAAGTTGATTCGTACTATATGGCGAGTGGAATACAAAATAAGACAGAGCAATTTAAATATTCATTTCAAATCATGTTCAAATTCCATACCCTTTTTAATGACAGACTGGTCCAATAAACTCATGCCAGTGGTACCCGTGTCATCCAAAGCCTGTTAATGTATAATAAAAAAAAATGAGTTAGGTCCATATCACTATTCAAATTGAATTGATATTAAACAGTCATATATAAATCACGCTCAATCAATCTCGACTATCTGTTATTTCCATTTATATTACCTGGTTGAAGGTTTATTATTCTAAGAAAAAATTACCAGAGGAAATTCGCTAGAATTACATGTTATCAGATAATAAGCTGTCTAACATTTCGGAGTCGCGTGATTGTTTATTAGAAAATGTTATCCAGTAGAATATACAGAAAAAATACGCAAATGCCAGTATTTATTTGCTTATAATTTAGAATCGTGTAACCGAATTAAACAAATTTTACCCGAGTTCACCATGTTCATGCAGACATGTAGAAACCTATTCAACGACATACAAATCTATCATTACAGTATCCATGTGCACATGCAAGTATATATCTACATGTACACGGTGCATAGCTGCTGCAATATTCATGATATAGATGTATGCTATAATCACATAGAATTCTGCGTGGCCTATGATAGCATCGCAAATAAACGGACTGACATTCTCTCCATTAGGAATGGCATAAAACGATATATAAATAAAGGATCAAACAATGAAACTGTTATTTTAGTAGTGAAAAGAGATTCAATTAAGCATGTGATACTTTAGACTTTGGTCAACGAGAATATGGGTTACTGCAGCAATGGCGAACAATGAGCCCTAAGATCACATTGAGAAAGGCGCACGCACCCGTTTCTTGATTTGGTTTTGGGAGAATTCCACTCATCTGGAAACTAAAGTTTAGAAATTACTTTGTGCTTTATTGACCCATTTGAAATAAGTCAGGGCAGAATCTTGTTACAACTTTAATTAAACCAAGGTCGTGTAACTACTAAAGCGTATTATATGCGCATGGGTTCAGATGCGTGTGATAATCTGACCCTGAGAGTCAGATAGTTAATACCATGTGACACGCGCGATATTTCCTAAATGATGAGCTTTGTTTCTATTTCATTTATCTCGATCTATATTGGTTAAACTGAACAATGATGCTAACGGAGTCAATTCAACTCCTTTATATTTTTAGAGTGATAATAGATCTTTTGCTTAATTGATTCATCCAACGCTGTTAGGTTTATTCCAGTATCGAAAAGTAAAGCAAGATTGTTGTTAGAAGTACAATTCTTCATATACATGGGTCGTCCACACAAACGTAGAATCGTATTCACAATTTCAACTCAAACATCTAACAATTCTTTGAAAGCTGAAAGGAAACTATATAAGGAAATGGCATTGAATGTTAGAGTTTAAGAAGTTCCTCTTCATAGACATGTGTTAGAAAGTTCCACGTTGCCCTTCTGCTAGTCCTTCAACCTTCCTGAATTGCATGTTAGAATTAAAGATTGTCTTCATCACTGAGCTTTGACTGCCATCTGACTTTCACTGACTTTGACTTTCACTGCCATCATTTTGGTTAAACCCGTGTTTTTAATGTTTGCATAATGGTTATGGTTGGTCTAGGATTTCTAATATCCAAATCGGCATCAATAACATTATCAACACTATTTTCTAGATCGGGGTGTCTTAGGCACTAACTAATCTTCAATATCCACAAAAAAAGTTCTCGGCACGCGATTTGTTTACAGAAATACCAGGCGGAAGCGACATTTAAGAGAACATGGACATATCCATGTGCCTTCGAAACACGTGTTTATTGTGTTTCGCAGACATTAGGCATCGGGGCGACAGCACAAAGTGAGAAGAATGTCATTGCGTTGAACGCAGAATAACTGGAGTCATTAAAGTTCACCAGACTTGTGCCCATGCAATACGTTTAGCATTCTCCGTTGTCTGTTGACCCGGTGTACAGTTTGAAGCATTTTCATCGCACAAACAGTTTATTTCTTTATTTCAACATTTAACATGTTGAAAAGTGGAATGTCATGATCGCATGTATCAACAAATAATCAATTTATCATTTTAATTACGTTTGGTTCTCCCTATATGTTCCATAAGTCAGCAGACATGTTTTGGGGTGAACTGCAGAGTAAAAGACTTAAGAAAATGTTAAGAAGTTTCTGTAGCTAATGAGAAAGGTCTACTTTGATTTTCTATCTAATTATCACCGCCTGCTGGGTTTTTGTAGAGGATATTCACGCAGCATGTTGGCAGTTAATAGTCACAGAGAGTATCATAAAGATTTAATTAGAAATGCATGCGGAAATGAGGGAAAAAACAACTCACACTTTTAATTACCAGACTCTGCTTTAAAGGGATACGAACAGCGGGATTTTAACAAATTACGAAAGGAAACGTGTGCACGCTTCCAAATAGTTTTCTGAATATATTCCCCTTGCGCTTCAGCTAATTGTTATTGTTTGCTTTGCTTTGCACGCAGTGCCTGGCGTGGCGCGCCCTCTACACTTCAGTGGGCTCGCTCCCCGGTGAAGAAAACCGGGCCTTAAATTCCCGAAGCAAAAGCTTCGAATTTCCTAACAGTCCGCGTGGTAATGTCTTAGATCTACAATTAGTCAAGCTAGGATGTATGTATACTTTTGTCCGATTTAGAAGCAAGGTCGCCAATTATCACATGGGAGACGTGGGGGAGGGGCAAAGGGGAACTATCTTCATGAATTTACTGCCACTGTGCTTCACCGACGGTGTATCCAGTCATTTAAACGCGATTCTATTAGGATTTAGAAACTCACCCAAGAAACGGATGACATTATCGGATGCTGTTTAATAACCAGTCCCTCATGCCCCTCATGCAGCAAAGTTTTTTTTTGTTTGAAGTCTGCTTTTTCTCAAATCAGCAGGTGACTGGGTAGAGAGGATGGCGTTGTTACTAACACAATACATTAAACTCAGCTCTTCTCATCTGAAACCAACAGCTGTCCAGTTTAAACCTCTGGCAATATTTACAGTCAAGATTACATGAAGGCCGAGAGAAACGCACACTGTCCAAACATGATTCACCTGCCACGCGAACAAAATGCGTCTTCACTGGATACTGCTGGTTACTTTTCCGGCGTCACTTGTGGTTGTCTACACTGCTAGTGAATAAGTAGGAAGAGTGGCAAGACCAATATTTAATGAACTGGCTGATGCCACATGGTTCACATAGCTTCAACAAAGAATTCCCACAGCACTCCTCAATCTGCAGCAGGACCTTCTTATTTTGTTAAAGTTCACTACGACCTGCCTTTATTAAAAACTGGCGTTGACTCCTTACGAATGGTCTAGACTGGATGTTATCCTTCTTGTCATTTCAAAATCGGAATAGTACTAGTAATCTTAGTGAGCGTTTTTAAGTCATTTATTCAATTAATCATTGATAAGATGGATAATTTATTCCCACAGAAATGTGTTATTTTAAAAAAAAGATTATTGTTACAAAAGACAGTTCGCTAAATTAAAATGGACTTGATCTTAAGGGCGAAATACATCGTTGGGGATCATCGTAAATGAACCAAGTAAACATCAGTCAGATTTCTCCTCTTTCTCTCCCTCCTGGGTAAAAATCCATTCACCGAATTATGATTAATCCTGACATACTTTAGTGTTGTTTTCATTTTCAATTAACCAACACTCCTAAGTTTATGTCAGGGAGAACTAGTGGCGGCAAATTCGCTACAATCTACACATACCCTAACTTTACCAGCAAATACTGCCTCTCTTGTCTTTATTCATTAAAATAAAATGGATTTTTAGATTGGTGCTCAAAGTAATGTATGGACGAGATGAGCGTTATTTTCTTTATGATTGTTGTTTTTCATGGCGCCATTACCCCGTAAATAGGAACAAAAACAAAATTAGGAGTCACTGCTTCAGTAGGAAGCTAAATAGGGAAGATGTAAAAGTTTGATCAAGTAAGGATCAGAAGCCGCTTAGCAGTTTAAAGTGACATCATTTTAGGCTCTTTTTGATGCCAAGATAACAGAAATACAACTTTGACAGTTTCAGCAACTCATATAAACCCCGAGACTCAAACTTTCTGCCCACTATGCCTCTGATCACCGCCAGCTTTGGGAGATATTTGAGGTACAGCATTTAAAAAAAAACTCAAATTTCTGGCATCTCTGAGCACTTTACTTACTTAAGGAGGTCGCAATGAACTCAAAGCAACGATCAGGAATGTGACATTCTATTTAACCCCCAGTTGTTTGCGTTGTTTTTCGAGCGGGGCTTCAGCCCATTTCACAGGGGGGAATAAAAGAGATTACACAATACAGGTGAATTGTTTTGTGATGGACTTTTTTTCATCTAGGGCTAACAATGAATAAAAGCAAATAAAAAAAATTAAGGATTTAACCATTTATGGAAAATGTCCACAGCCATTATTAAAGTTTTCTGGTTTAAAATGATTAGATTGTTTAAAATAACCAGTCATTTTATGGGATTTCCCTGTGTATTTCCTTTCTTTTCTGTTTAGATTAACAAAACGTAAACTCTACTTAAAACCAATTATTCTGTTTAAATATTACGCTTTCCCATTTCCAATATGTCAAGGCGAAAAATCCATACTGTTATCATTTAAATGCCATCGATTATGTTGGTTGAAATGTGTTAATAATTACTCTCTCGCCATGCTCCTAAACGTTCAATATGGCTTGCGTATTGATAATATTTTTAAATAACATCAGCTCTATTTTACGACTCGTCGCCTAATAACAATAATGGCGAATCGAACGGCAATGGATGGACTCGAGGTGCAATTAAGAAAGTGAGCATATGTACCAAACTAAATACTAGTTAAGAAAACGCTTTTTGCACCACATGATTACAAATGCTTGGATTTGTCAAAAGAGCAAGAAGAGTGGCAAAGAATTCAAAGGAAAGTAAGAGGATGGTGGTGTGAATTGAGTAAACATTCATTAACATTCTAGGCTTCAGATTTCTCGTTTTCGGTAGCAGATGCATACACAATGAAGGCCAGGATGCCTGCGCTTAAACAATATAACGTTTCCTCCAAACAGGCATTCCTGACGATATCAGTTGCACTGCCACATTTTTGATACGGATAGGACGATTATTTTGATATTGTTTCTCTCTCTCTCCGCAATCCTAACATACTTGAACAATTGACTTCTTTAATTACCAAAATTACTTCCCCTTGATTTGTAGCGCTCTAGGTAACTGTAAATATCAACGTGACACCAAACACGCCACGCTTCTATTGAGTCTCTCAGTTCTATTTAATTTTACAATGGCATTCGACAGATGAAGCTGGTTCAGGAACGCGAACTGAGATTTCTTAATTCAATGAACGAGAACGGAACCTAAAACTTGTTAGTTTTAAAAGGCAGTGCTGACTCACAAATAACGAGCAAGCTGTTCTCATTTGCTTTATATATTTTGCTGAATCCTAATCTTCGATTTTGGGACCTACTTAATGTTCCCTCATTCGGAGTTCACGTTTCGAGGTGGCACGGAAGTTCGAGTTCCTCATAGAGGTTGAACTGTTGTAGTAATTACCTGATCATTTCGGACTAATTCTACCCCAAAGAACAAGTACTTAATTCAACTGAACATATCAAATTTGAAATGTCACTCCATTTAAACTGGCTGTACACATACGGGTCATTTCTCTGGTGATGAATGTAGTTTTGTTGCAAATGAATGCTTTACAGACTTTGGCACCACGGTAAATTATATTATTGATGCCATTGAGCTCAGTTCTTATACAACAGAATATCACATTCTTTTAAAAAAAATCGCATTACAATGTTGATGACAGACGAGTATATGTATCATTGTGCTATTGCCTTATTTGGTTGATGTTATTAACCCTGAAGTGAAATCGCAAAGCAACATTACGACTACACAAAACGCACTGAGGCATTCACGCCGTCCGGTCTTGGGTGTTTAATTTTAAATTTGCAAAAAAAAAACGTATTATGGCAGATTGTTTGGGCCTATCTTAATAATGCAGTTAATGAATAAATGCATGGCTAAATGCTAGTCTCTCTGTAATGATGCTACAAGCCTTCTCTCACTTATGTAGTCCCCTGCTGCAACGCGAACACGGACACAAAAAAATGTCACGGCGAAGACAGCAATACAATAAGTGATCTTCACAGACCGTGGTTTGAAGCTATCAATAAATCTACATCATCGTCTCATTCACTCAGACAGTGGCAGCTACCAAATGAATGAGCTATAGAAGGACAGATGTCCAAAACGACCTGAAATTTGTCCCCTATGAACATTTGGGAGTGATAATATTCTTTTTGCATAAATCAGCGCGGCACTTAGCACGCTCCATTCTTCTTAGTACTTCATCTTACTAAAAATGACGCAGTAACAATAGAAGTAAACGCGGCACATTTCCAATTGGATTGATCAACGAGAACAACTACGCGGCCACGAAGGCTGCAGGACCAGGCACTTTGTGAAGTTATGATTTATAATACTGTGATTATTTAGGTGTTAGTTCAGTGAAATAAATTTATCTTCCGTGAGAAGGAAGAATGTCCGATACATCGTCACATACCAGAATGTCTGAAGGACTCAAGGAAAAGATCAGGGCACTAAATCTGCAAAGAAATACGCTCTGATTGTGTCTGAACAGCAGACTGATCCAAAATCGAATATTCAAGCCTGTTCAGATCTGTGTTCTGCAGTAAACTACATTTTTAGCCAACAAATATGAACAGGCAAGGATTGTTATTTTTAAAGGAATTATATGCACGCTTTGCAATTAGGAATTAAGAATTACATGTGTTGAAAGCAACGTTTTCAGATCTAACCTTGTCTAAACATTTCAAGGTGCTGCATACACAATCGTTCTGGAGACGGGAAGAGTTCCTAATCGCAGCGGCCATCTTTGTTTATGAGTAAGTGTATTTTTAAATGCAAACTATGTTTCCCTTTAAGTTTAGAAAATTTACTTATAATTTTTCCAACTTCAAATACTTATAATTTTTCCAACTTGGGAACGTTTATAATGCAGGCACCAAATTCTAAAAGTCTATCTTCTTTCAAGCACAAAAAGACAATGCATTGAGCAGGTACAACACTTGACAGGACTCGATACTCATCACAAAACAGTGAACTGGAAAAGTATTGAATGCAATATGATTAACGTGACAACTTTCAAACAGTCATCTTAAATATCCTCCTTAATGTCTAAATTCCATATATGTACGCAAAATAAAACAACCACCAATTAATCAAAATGGACAAAAGGTGATTAGTAACACCGATTAATCAGGAAGTACTCTTTCGCCTGAACAGTTGTTTTGGTAAGAGTTTCTAATAAAGAGAGGTGAACTTGATTTTTGCCTGACGAGTTCAAAACGAAAATCTTTGACTGTATTTTTTTCTCTCGCAGCCTGCTTTCTTGAATCTTATTGCTAATTAATATCAAACTCGATCAAGTTCAGTAGTTCATGTTTTGTGTGAACACCTCAACCTTTCCACGCATTATCTCTCATCATATCTTATTAGCAAACTTGCAGTCTTCTAATTTCAAACAGACTGTAGTCCTAATTGCAATATCACATTTTATTGCATTTATTTATGAAATAGATTGCAGCAAAAAAACAAATTGAGATAACAATACAAATGAATTAGATGTACTAAATCGTTTTATTGCAGTTAAATGCAATTCAGAAAATGGTGTCATGAAACACCATCATTCATATTCCAATGTGATTTTCTCTCTGGGGGCTAGTTCTGATAAGCGAAGACAATTTTGTGGCCGACGCAGTACATATTTAACAGGAACATGTTCTGTTATAATGGTGGACGGAAGTATATGCATGAGCTGCAGTTTAAACTGTAAAGATAGATAGTATGCAATTTGCACCGGGGCCTAGGAGCCACACTTGTAAATAAGCGAGATTATCATGAAAAGTATGAATAATATGGGGCCTGATAATAACTGGGAGACCCGATGAAGTAGCAATCAACCTTTACTTGGAAAGGCTTCCATCAAGATCAACAAAAAAATTGTTGTTTCACTCACTATGATCGTGATCAGTGTTTTATAGTTCTTCGAGTTTAGAATTAGTAATTCGGAAATCTGGCTCTGAGGAAGCAATGGGGAAAAGGTTACAAGCTAAATAAGATCAATGTTTGAATGACCAGTCCTGTTATCAGGATATGAATCATACCTTTCTACCCCCACAACTGATATGCAGCTTTCACAATGCACAGGACAACCTTCGATTCGAAACAACATCAAAATAAAACTCTCCGCTAACTAGCATGCAACTTGAACAGTGTGGACTCACCTGGATATCTTCCATTCCATGATGGCTGATACTATGCAAAGAGAGGCTGTCCCCCATGCCCGAATCGAGTCCATGAGCGGAGTGGACAAGCACGTCTGGCCGGCGCACGCCGGGGTAATCCCGGCGAGGGTCCAGCCCTGTGATCTGGGGTAGAACCCGGGGCTGATGGAGAAGGCTTGGCTCGGCACCCACATCCTGCCGCTGCCTCTGCTGCCATGGATGCTGTTGGGGTTGGTGCAGGGCGTTCAGAGAGTAGGGGTCGTTGACGTGTGTGTAAGGGTCCTGGCTCTGGTGGTAAGGGAGAGGTTGGTAAGGAGGAGGGAAATAAGGTGGCTGGAAATCCGACGTCGGGGTGTGAGAGAGCGGAGGAGCGGTTGAGTAGTGTCCCTGGGAGACCGACCCGAGTTGGGACAGCCTCGAACTGTGGCTGTTAACTCCATCGTGCCGGTCCTGCAAACAAGAAATAAGAGAACTCAGTTTAAATGTTATTTTTGTATTTAATGATGCATTTTATATTCACGGAAGTGTAGGAAACGTGTACAATGGAGGTGAAAGGGAACAAGAAACAGCATTTCGCTCTTAAATTATTGTCTTATCAAAATAATGCGACGTAAACTGGAAAACATTGCAGAACAGGAGTAGCCTAAGAAAGGCGTGAGCAAAACGCATTAAAATATGAAAATTTCGTTACAGACTAACGATCACAATGTGTAAAAGTGGGAAAGAAGATAAACTGGAACAAGGGCTCAGTAGAATCGAAAGCAGCGCCCCAGTCAGTTTTAGATCTCCAGCTTCAGCTGGCCTAGAAAAACGGACTGTACTTTTGCCCTTGGCTCTGATGCGGTTTGTTATAAACTTAATTCGTAGGCCACACCAATTCCAAACAAATGCTTGAAAATAAGTCCAAGAAAAGTCAAGCCTCGGACAAACGGGTGTTCTACTCGCCCAAAACAGGTTAATGGGAGGGATGGGGGGAGGGGGTGGTGGTGGAATGAGCTTTACAATATACCTTTTACTTTCTGTATGAAAAATAATATGAAATATACCGTCAAACACAAGCCCACCCCCTCCACAAATACGCACGTAAGTTCAGAGAGGAAGGAAGATAAAGGAACAAGCAGACGTTTGCACCCGCTGCTTGTCAAAACAGGGGAGAAAGAAGGCAACCGTGCAAGGAACATGCAAAATAAAACAAAACGGCGAAGCTGAGCGATGTAACTGGACTGGGGACGTCGCCTGAGTTATCATACACACGTTAAACAAGAGAATTGGGCAGGAATGTCAAGTAAATAACATCTTTAACCAACATTGAAACTCAAATTGCCAAAAGCAATGGAGCGCATTCGAAAGTTTTAGCCCAATGACGCGTCCATCCAAACCCGATTAGATAACAATACAAACAAGATAGAAACAACCTGCAATTATGGACTAAATTACAAAGCCACCGGCGTTTGGGGCGAAATGGGATTGTGCCGAGCACTGATCCAACTCACCATGGCTGTGTAAGTGTGGACTAGCATCTGCAGTAAATCTGATCATAGGCCATCAACCAGAGGGGGAGAGAAACTGCAGGAAGAGACGCTCGGTAGCCTGAAGTATCTCCAACACTATATCCATCAAAATTGGTCAAAAAGTGGACAAATTCTATTATATATATATATCTCCAGCCTTACATCCAGTGCTCACCTCTCCAAGGCAAGGTGATGACTGTTCACATCCCTCTCTGCCACTCTACACCGCCTCATAATAATTGATATTCATGACTATTAATATTACACGAATACTTAGAGGAAGAATGGTGGCAAATCGAGCGTGAAGCAGCCAGCGAGCGCTCCCCTACTATTGTAAATGACGTTCACTCAGACGAGAATTACTCGATGTAATCAGACGAGGTGGGGGAGGGGGAAGGGTGTTTGAGGTTTGAAAGCTCCGTGTCCGGACTTTTGGGCAAAAAAAAAGTTTTGTAGAAAAATAGCCAGACACCCAAAAGGAACGTAGCCAAGCAGTCCAGTCAGACGAGTGAAAAAAAGGTCTGTCTCGAAGGAACAGCCCTTAGCTTGCTTTTGTTCTGTTTAAAAGTGGAAATGTTTAGCGTCCTCTTTAACATAGCCCAACCTTCCAGGACGATTTCACGTAAACGCCTTCTCTCTAGCCTTCCACGCTGCTAAGTTTCGTTCTTTTATAAATTTAGTCTTGCTCTAAGTGTTTTACATTTTAGTACAGGGTTTAGCAATTCTATAATGTTATTGTGTTGACTCTTTTTTAAACCGAATTTCTTTAACCACATCAAAAGAAGCGAATTTAAAAGGTGCCGTCCTGAGGTAGCAACATTTATTGAGGAATACAACCGTGTTCCTTTTCGTTTCGCATCAAAGACGACGAAACAAATTCATGGGAAACAAAACAAAACCAGGCTACTGTTGCTCCTACCAAAAGAGCAGCTACCACTTCAAATCGACCCAGCTGATAATGTCTTAACACTGCGCCCAAATAGTGGGTTCGAATTCTACCCTGATAAGATCGAATCCAGCTTGTTTCTCCGGCAAGTTGATCTTATCAGAAATCCACTTCAGTAAACTACCGCTCACATCCTTCATGTTACACAGTGTCTGTCACGTGGTTTTGGCAGATTAAAAAAAGTTAAGGCAAACCCATATACATTAAAGGAAAACAATATTTTCGAATCTGAATAGGTTATAAGGAGTGATTGGAATCTTCCTCCACGTTTAAAATAAAAGTGCAATAGCTGAGGACTTGTGCGCTGTTAAGGAGAATATAAAATCCATCTAGAACCCGACAGAATCGTGACAAATGTAAGAGTGGGAGACGTCAGACATTTTGCAAATCGCTTTTGGTAGGATCAACCACCAAAGCTTCCTTTGTTATCACAGCGAGCGATCGAAGGCGTTGCAAATCTAGCCTTCTTCAAACCCCTTCCCGTTCTTTCCTTATCATCTCGCTTCATTTTTTAAAATAAAGTCTCCCCTTTCCTGCTGCCAGTTGTAAAACATTTACAGGGTTTCTGTACAGTCTGCTGCACATTACTAAACTGGTATAAGCTAAGGGGCCTTTGTGGGTGTTTCTTTTTTAGGGGTTTGCTGGTGGGGGGTGGGAAGTTACTACGGTGTGTGCTAGTTGTTCCGGGTTATTGCAGAACCCGTTGGACTGGATTGTCCAGCCTTTCTGTTGAGAGGCAGAAAAAAATCCTTCTCACGTCAGGTGCCTCGTCTTGTCCCACCATATTCCCATGACCACCTTAAAAAGTTCCAAATGTTCCACTGACAGGAATTTGAAATAATCGGAACTTTTAGCTCAGTGAACCCTATCACCGCGGGCGCTCGGCTAAATGAATAGTTGTACTTGTAATTCCAACTTGGGGTTTTCCACTCTCGATTTATTTTAGCTCATTAGCCAATTTGCTGTCCTAGTATTTGAAATTTTCCACAAATTTCCAGAGCATGTTTGCAGTCTGGTCTTTAGAAGATTCGTTAATATGGATACTGTGTTACAACTAAATCAAAGGAAATGATTCTATTGCTTAACGTGAGCATTGAAAGTGTTATCTCGAAATAAATTTCCTTTGAAATTAAATAAATTGTTGGCTGATCATAAAAGTACATTTTGCGTTGGTCTACACCGTATGCTATTTAAATGTTTTTGACTGTCAAATTGTTTATTCATCCTTTCAAAAGCGCGACTTTAAATCGGTAAATATGGTGTAATTCAGAGCTAATAATTAAAACAAATTTGGTTTCAAAGAAATAAACTGCACTAAGGTGAAAGATCTATTGACTACTTCCTTAAAAGAATAGAGCAAAGCAACAACCGCATCTTTTTTGTCCACCCCTGTGTCACTCTAATTCAGTAGTACGGCAGAAATATGTGGCACATTTTTAACAAAAAAAAAGTTAGAACGGTCTACACGGGGTTGTATTGAAATTCTACGGCGAATGCTTTGGACTTTGCCAGTTTGCAATTGATAATTAGTCAGAGGAAAGCCTTGAGAGCGGAGATATTTGTGGCTGTGCAGAGGGCGGCAACCCGCCCGGCCACTCGAAAGGCTCAGTAAGCAGCACGTTGGTATCAATTCATCAGCCTTTTCCATAAGCCATTTTCCGGGCTCTTTGTACATTGTTAAACCGGTCACTTAATTTAACAAACCATCCAGAGAACGTGTTATGAAACCTCTACAAACGCGTGCTATTTGCCTTAAATTTTACAAGCGTAAATAAAGTCCTTTCTAAAGACCAGTTTCTCACTTCCTCACGAATGGTAATTTTTTTCCCCCGCACTGCCAGTTTCAAGCAAACCATAAGGCTGACATCATTTATCTGCCATCTCTCTTCTGTTCCCATTTCTGCTTGCGCTCAGATTTCCCCCATCCCCTTCTCTCATTCTCCCCACAAACTGAACGGTGCCAATACCGGTAAGACTGTGAGTGAGAACTTTTGTTGTCTTAAACATTAACCTGAACTCTCGCAGCTTCTGGCCTGACACCGTCTCACTCCACCGGCTGCAGGCAACAGGAATGAACACACGCGACCGACTCTAAAAATACGCTTTATAATTTAGAAGCAATTACATTCTCACAAGCAATCGGCTCGAGACCGGAACATAGCCATCATTTCCAACTGGATTTCCACTTGTCAGCTCGACGCGCAAAACTGCCCCCATAAAATCGTCACCTTAAGGAAAACCGCCCAAATGCTTCCGATCGCCCGTTCACCAGCAGGACACAGAGAAACATAAACACCATCTCTCTCTCCCTCTCTCTCTCCAATTCTAGGCGCTGTGAAAACACGGAAATTGTCTACGTGACACGAGTGAATCTGGCATTTCCTTCAGAGCCGAAAATCTAATGTAAACCCACGAATGAGAAATGCTTTATTTTGGGGAGTGCAGTCGATCGCTGTTGCTAAGTAAGAACCAACAATATGCATAGGGACTCTGAAAGCCGTTCGCGAAAAAGCACGAAAAGAAACTCAACACAATCCCCGTGGCTACTCACCTCGTAGATGTCCTCGTATTTGACATTTTCCACAAGTTTCCAGAGCATGTTTGCACTCTGATCTTTAGAAGATGGGTGCATTCATGTGAAGAGCAGCTATCTGCTTTCTCTCTCTCTGTCTCTCTCCCGCAGTCTCCCTCTCTCTTCCCCCTCTCTTTCCTCCCTCGCTAATGAGCGACTTAATTGGGGAACCAGGAGAGTCCAATCCGATGTGGTTTTTTTTGCAGCACTCGGCACGGTGACGCTACCGCCTCACACTCATTTACTAACTCAACGATAATGTCCAAACTTTAGCCCCAATCCCAGACAACAAACTAATGCCAATGGATGTATTTGTAATGAAAATCCCATCAATGCAGTGGGGTTAAAATCCCTATTACTGACTACATAGGGTGTAATACATGTAAGTCGTCTGTCTGTCTGTCTGTCTGCCTAGTTTTCTATCTATTTATAAGTCGATCTATCTGAAACATTGAGAGATAGAATATATGCATGTACAGTGCAATAAAAGGGCACACCTCCGCCTGCCTCTCCATCAATCTATCTCTCCCATTGGATGCACAGCATTTCAGGAAAACTTGCAATTGGAGTGTATTGAATGTTTTAGTTCCTTCTGTTCGACCAAACTCTTCCTGACTTTAGAAAGACACTCCGTGATGCAGAATTTAATGTTGTTTACTAAAGCAAAGGTATTAACCAAATTAACACCTGGCGCGCACATTCTCGATGAACTGTATCAGTTTTGAATTTTTATAGTCCTGGCTTCCAGGTTAATTCTCTACTGCGAGAGAAGGTAGCCTGCTACCAAAACACACTTAAAATAGATCATTTATTCAAAATTCCCCCTTTTAACAGACTTTGTTCACTGTCACATCATTCAAGTCAAATGACCGAATTGGTCATTGGGAATGAAAATACTTTATCAAAGATCGATTTCCCAAATATCAATTTCATGTTAAGAAGCTACAACGAGACCAAGAACGGACAATTCTTGCAGTTTTCAATGTCATAATCACAGCTGTCATTTTTGAAACCACAAATCAACAAATCCACGTAAAATATTGTAAGTTAGCAATTTGTACTGGCAACTTTTCAAAGATGAATTAGCAATATATTGGGGATCGATATAATTGAACCAAATGTGTCGGCTTTACTCAGTTTGGCAATAGGTCTCAGAAGCCTCCTGGTTAATATTATAGTCAGCCGGTTGCTGAAATTTCAACAAAGTATTTGAAAAAAACATGCATTCCTTTAAATAAAGTGTTTTGGTGGTTGCACAAACGTTAAATGGCAGTTCAATAAGGTAATATATTATAGACAGTTAATTACACAAATCAACATGGTTTTACTTTCTCTTGTTTTACACAAAGCAAACTATGTCGCTATAGTTTAATATTTAAATGGACATGTATTTTCAATGTAATCAAACATGCGGAAAAATGTCCATAGTAACTTTTAGATGTATATTGAGACTGATAGAGAATAAAAGACAGAGGCCAAGACCATATACTGAGACGTACAGACAAATACACGATAAGCATATTTTATTTGCCAACCGTGTGAAGTTGGTACTCTTTCCTTTAAGACTAAGCTAGATAGATGAAAATTGAATGACAGCATATAGATGGAGCTGGAGGACATATAGGTTGGTGAGCGAAAGGATTGAAAGACAGAGAGATAGTCAATCAGTCAGATCT